TTCCAACCCAAACCGTTCTGAGCTTCTGTGACATGACCATGAAGGATGGTGGGGTTGAGCTGAGCACCATGAGCTGCTGAAGAAACAGTCAAAACTTGGAAACCTGGCCATGGCTTTGGGCAAAGTGCTCCTCTCAGGATCATTAGCAGTCCAACTACATGTTGCCTGCCCAGATGCCCCTGCCAGGGAAACTTCCTGCTCTTTCCAGGTCTTATCAATAGCTGCTGTGTGGAAAATGAACCAGGCAATGGGAGCAGGGAGCATGAGACACAGCTGGTTGTCTCCTCCTGCCAGGACAGAGAAGAACACCTTTGCTGCCATACTGCAGCTGCCTTTACAGCATTGCTCTGCTCTCAGCTCCAAGCATGCCCTGTTGAGATGGCCCATCTCAGCCAAAACCTCCTGAGCTTGTGGGACAGTCAGCCTTGCCTGGGTGGGAGTGTGGTTGCAGCTCACCCAGCTCCAGACACTGCTGCTTCTCCTGCCCTCCAGACATTGTGGCAGAGGAAGAGCTCGGTGCAGTGGACAGGGCTGCTCATCACACTCAAGAAAAGGTGTTGGATGGTGTTTGAGAGCTGCTCATGGAATGTCTGCCCTGACTGCTGCTGGTGCTCAGCCAGGCTGGGATCTGGGGAGATATGTTAGATATGTTAGATATGTTGGATATGTTAGATGCCTGGTGCTGGAGGCTGAGGGCAGTCAGTCACAGGTCTGTGCAGAACCATGGAACTGCATCAGCTGGGTCTTGCCTGTAGGTCTGGAGAGAGATCTTCTCATGGGATAGCAGCTACTTCAGGCATTCATCAGAAGACTTCCCTAAATAAAAATAAATAGATGATATGATGATATTATATGATGATATTATACAAATTATATTATATGATATATATGATATGATATGATTATATGATATGATATATATTATATGATTGATATGATATGATATGATATGATATGATAGATATTATATGATATGATATGATGATATGATATGATATGATATGATATGGATTATATAGATACAGATGATGAAAAGACCAGGGGATTCCCTTCACTGCCTAGTTCTTCCTGGAATGCTTCTCCTCTGGTAAACCCTACCCAGGTTCTGGGCAAGGAAGGGCAGAGAAGAGCTTTTCAGCTGTTCACAGTGGGGCCCCCATGTCTGTTTCTGGTGTTTTTTAGCCTCTAATTCATCTGCCATGCACATTCCTGCAGAGCAAGCACTCATGTTTTGCTGCCTACAGAAACAGGCTTGTTTGGTAGCTCCTGGAGGAAAAAACTATTTCTGCTATGTGGCCCCTGACATGTCTTCCCACAGCCTGGATCTGTCTGGTTGCTCTAGTCATGAAGTTGTCCTCCTACCACCACTTACAAATTGCTTCAGACTGTTTGTACATTGCTTTTTTAATTTACTGGGCTCTGCTCATGTGACTCAACCCCTCAAAGAGACACCAAGCATTAGAATCTGGTACCAGTGACTCTGGCTGCAGAAGTGAGGTTTAATGTCATTTTACTTGTGTCTTGTCCAGCAGCTTAAGCCATTATTTTTTACTAACAGGTTAATATTTTAAAGGAATTTAAAAGGAATATTTAAAGGGAATTTGAAAGTGAACTTACAATCAGATGCATCCTAGCCCAGAAATTGCTTACAGATGTGTATGAAATTAATAACTCCTTTCTATCTCTAATATACTCTGTCCCTGCTGAGTTGATTCTTTAATTCCCAGAGCAGTTAAATGTGAATCTACCCCAAGTTCCTGAGTCTGTCCCAGTTCCTTCACTGCAATGCTCTCCCAGAGAAAATGCACAGCTCCAAGTAAAACTGGGAAATTCCTTCATTTCCATTGGTAGCATTAGAAACCTGCTGTGGAAACTATGCAAACTGGTCAAAAGAGAGTGGTACTCTAAAAAAATAAAAAGAGGGTTCTGGTTGAGAAGGAGGCAGATTCCAGAGTGTTCAGGATGACACAATCTCCCTGTTTCCCCTCTTGGCAGGGGGAAGAGAATTCCTCATCCCTAATGGAAACCACACTTATCTCCCTCTGACCAGCACTTGTGAGTGGCTACAAGGCAAGCTGGGACTCAGAGCAGCAGGAAGGATGGATCCCTTCCCAGCTTCCCACATGTCACTGCTGCCTGTTACCAGCAAAGGGAGATGTCCTGCCAGCTGGGACATGGAGGTGTGTGCACAGCTCTCAACAAACAGCTCTGTATTTGACAGCAGCAGGTGGACACAAGAGTCCCAAGCCTCTGGTTGTAGCAGCATGCTGGAAAGTGTTTCTGAGAGCAAAGATGCCCCTGCCAGTACCCAAAAGTAGCTTTGTTTTAGTGGTCCCAGCTCAGTCCAGTTTGGTAAAAATCTCAGAATCATAGAATCCTAGAACAGTTTGGGTTGGATGGGAATATTAAAATTAATTCAGTCCCAACCTGCCCGCCAGGCAGGGTCACCTTCCACAAGACCAGGCTGCTCAAAGCAGCAGAAGGAGCTGCAGCACAGGTTCACCTGTCCATAACCAGAGAGGTGCCTCAGCCTGGCTGGAGTGACTCCCCTGCTCCCAGTCCATAGCTGGCACCAAGGATAAACCCTCTGAGTGGCAGTCACTATGCTTCAGGGACAAACAAAGCACAGAGGAGCTGAGTGTCCTGCCTTGCACACAGGTCTCTGCCCATCCTGGGATCACCCACAGGTTTGTGGGCACTGCTGTCAGCAGCTTTGACTATCCTGCACCCCTGGGTGCATCCACAGGCACAGCTACAAGGGCCTCTCCCTTCAGCTGCCCCTGCCTCCCTCCTCTAGGCCAGGAGCTGTTTACAGTAAATTCTCCATAACACGTGCTTTCAGCTCCACGTTCAGTGTTGCAAAAACACCAAGTCCAGTATTCTCCCTGAGTTAGCAGATGTTCTGAATTTGTCATGGAAATGACTCCCAGTTAAAGAGAATTCATATGATTAATGATTAATGTGCTATCTGAATAATTACCTCATTCAGCCAGCTTTTCTTCTGGTTTTGCAAAAAACGTGCATGAAAAAGAGTTTTGAAGACAAAACTCTTTTTCTGTGTTGGTGTACATGTGGAATAATATTTCTTCTAAATGAAGAAAGCAAATTTAAGAAAATAAATAACTGACAAGCTTCCACAGTGCTTGTGCACACATGTTCTCTCCAACATTTTTCTAGGACCACAGTCCTCCGCAAAATTCATTAGAGACCTAGTGCTTGAGGAAAACCTTCCTCATGAAGAATGAGCATTGTTATATGCATTGAAAAATCTAAAGTTTCAGGTGTAGATTATCTGAGCTGATAACCATGCACACAATATTAAATTTCTATAAGCAATTTCTAGACAAAAGCCCCCTTCAGCCAACTCGGTGATCAGGTTTCCTGTGAATAGGTGCATGCACATAAGGGAACATTGTTTTAAGACCTTTTTTGTGGAATATATAATTTAGCAATGAAAATACCATTTTTCAAGGAAAAAAAATTAAATTTGTATTTTCCGCCAGTATTTTGGCATTCAGGATCTTGCTCATGCACTGCCAACATTTTCTATAGTTACCAGAACATGTAGACAAAATACATTTCAAGAAAATCCAACTTTGCATTTAAGGAAGGCAATGTAGCAAACGTGATGCCAATCTTGTCAGAAAGACTCCAAAACTGACCCAAAGAACTGCCACCTACAGAAATCTACAGAATAAAATTTGCTTTGGGCTGTAGTATAAACCTGAGCCAGATGCATGTGTACAGTACCAAGGGCCAAGACATCTTTTTTGGAGCAGTCATGTCCCTGAAGTGTAAGAGGACATTTCTGATGGAGCTGGTGGGCACAAGGAGAGCTGGTTGAGGATGGTGAGGAGGTGCTGTGCTGAGTGGCCAGGTGCTGTTCAGGTGTAAAACATTAGATTTACTATTTGAAAGTGCCACAGAGGAGGGACAACAGCCAGGTTGGGCTCAAAATCAGGTATTTGTGATTCAAGAGAGGGAGCCCAGCCTTCAACCTCAACCAGAAAGGCATGTTAGGAATCCTCAGCAAAGGGGTTAAGATCAAAACAGAAAATATCTTTATTTTGCTGAGTGGTTCTTTCCTATCACTTGTGGCTCTGGCTGCACAGTGAAAGACTTTAAACAAATATGATTGAAGAGGGTGAAAAGGAACATCCTGCATAAAAGATCTGGAAACTTGACTCTGGGAAAGACAGGACAGAGGGAGAAGCGTGTAACCAATGTATAAGAAAATTGTGAACACTACGTAGAGGGAATCATTCAGGGAGCAATTGTTCATTGCTTCCCAAAATACAGAAATTGGAGTTATCTCCTGGAAAGATCACATAAAAATTGCCGGCATCTCCTCAAACGACGGCAAAGTTATTTCAATGAAGGGAACGGAGATATTTTTCGACTGATTAAGGGCGCAATACTCTTCACCTCCGTACTGACATCTTCAGTTCGCGAGTGTACATGACCTTCCCCACATCCCTACCTTTTCCCCGTTCAGGCTGAGCCCTGCTGCCTGCCCAAGGAGCGATGCTGCTCCTCCGGCTCCTCGGTCCCTCTGTGCCCCGTCCCCGCCGCGTTCGTCCCGCCCGCCTGCCCGCGACCCTCCCCGCCCCGGCCGGGCGGTGTCTCCGCGGCCCCGGCGGAGCCTTTAATTCGCGGGGCGTGATGTCACAGCGCCGGGGCCGCGGGCGCGGAACGCGGAGCGCACGGAGGAGCCGCTGCCCGCGGGAGCCCTGCCCGCGGGAGCCCTGCCCGCGGGAGCCCTGCCCGTGGGAGCCCTGCCCGCGGGAGCCCTGCCCGTGGGAGCCCTGCCCGCGGGAGCCCTGCCCGTGGGAGCCCTGCCCGTGGGAGCCCTGCCCGTGGGAGCCCTGTCCGTAGGAGCCCTGCCCGCGGGAGCCCTGCCCGCGGGAGCCCTGTCCACCGGGAGCCCTGTCCACCGGGAGCCCGGTCCGCCGGGAGCGGCCAGCCGGGAGCGGCCCGCGGGACGGGCTCGGCGGCGCAGCATGGGGAGCGTGCAGCTGCAGGACTTCGTGGCGGGCTTGGTGGGCGGTGAGTGATGCCGAGAGCGCGGCGGGGAGGCGGCGAAGGGCGCACGGCGGAGATGCTGGGGATAAAACCCTCCAGGGGTAAAACCCTCCGGGGATAAAACCCTCCAGGGGTAAAACCCTCCGGGGATAAAACCCCCCAGGGGTAAAACCCTCCGGGGATAAAACCCTCCGGGGGTAAAACCCTCCAGGGCTAAAACCCTCCGGGATAAAACCCTCCAGGGGCAAAACCCTCCGGGGGTAAAACCCTCCGGGGGTAAAACCCTCCGGGGATAAAACCCTCCGGGGGTAAAACCCTCCGGGGATAAAACCCTCCGAGGATAAAACCCTCCGGGGATAAAACCCTCCGGGGGTAAAACCCTCCGGGGGTAAAACCCTCCGGGGGTAAAACCCTCCGGGGATAAAACCCTCCGGGGTTAAAACCCTCCCTCCGGGTCACCCACAGTCTGTGTCTCCGCCCGGCGTCTCTCTCGGTTTGCTTTGGTACATAAGTGAGGTTTAATCCCACTTCCACGGGCGGGATGGTTAAAATTCAAGTTTGGAACGTGTGATGCTGCTGTGCAGATCGGTTTCCAGAGGCACCAGCATCCCCCCCAGCTCCCGCCGGCTCTCCCGGCCTTGCCCCCGTGGCTCGGAGGGGGCTGGCAGCTGGCGGCCCCGGGGCTCCCCGGGTCCCATCCCCGAGAGAGGCACTGCCGGCTCCTCACCCCGCCACAGGGCTAATGGCCACGGCAGGGGTTGATCCCGTCTGCCGGGAATTCCCATGGCAAACACCGGGAAACAGATAACAGAAAGAAAAGGAAGGCAAACAACACGCAGAGGTGTCAGGAATGGGATAAGGTTTACAGAACTGAGAGATGCCAGCTGAGAGGTGAGCAGCTCTGCTGCCCCCAGGGATGCAGCAGGACAGTCACCAGCCACTGCAGAGCAAACCTCTGCTCAGGTGACCCTTCAGACCCGACACAGGAGCAGGATGTGGGGCGGCTCACAGGTGTCCTGCCAGATGAGGTTAATAAATTAGCAGACTAAGAAACCCTAAACCTCTGCCAAAAGTTTGCATGAGCAGTTGATTTTTGGATCTCTGTAAGCTGTGGTTGCTCCCTCTGCCCCACTGCCCTGTGCTGTTGCTGCACACCCCCAGCAACAGGACAGGATGTCCTGGTAGATGAACAGCCACCAGTTCTCTGCAGCAGTGACACCTGAGAGTCTTCATGCATAACACTAGACCATGGGTGGTCCCAGGTCTGGGAGGAGAGGAGACATTTTTTTAACATATTTTTAGAAAGTCATAATGTGCTGACCAAGGACATGATGCTCTTTTCAGTACCAACTCACTATGAGTAAGAAATTACATGTAGTCCCCAAAGCACCTGTGGGCACTGCTTTGCACACAGATTTGCTGGTGAGGAAGCATCACAATTTACCCACTCTCCACAAACCCTAAAACCTGCCAGTGTTGTTTGCAACAAAGACAAAAAACCATATCCTGGCCATGGTACACAGGTGTTCCATTCTCCTGGAGAAGAGGGAAACCAAACCATGCTCTGTGCTGCCACGAGAGCTCCTGGCAGTGAGTAGGTGGGTGAAAGGTAAGAGAATATGGGCCAATTTCTCCCCAGAGGAATGCAGGATGGCACTAAGCAGATCTACACAGAGCAGGATCCCCTGTATCTGAATCCTCTCTGACAGATATCTTTATAAACTGCTCTTAAAACAGCAAAGGATGAGGAATTTGCAGGTCTCATTAGCAGCCAGCTAGGACATCACTTTGAGCCAGGAGAAAGCATTGCCTTGTGCTAAACAGGAATCTCACCATTCTGAGGATAAAAATTTGTGTGAGCTTACAGGAATGCAAAAGGGGTTGGACCTGGACAAGATATACGAACATGACTTCTGCTTCTCTGGTGCCTCTGAGATGTAAAGCTGAAGGAGTCCAGGAGATTGTACATAGAGAAGTGTTTAAACTCAGCTTTTAGCTGTTGTCAGGGAAGGGGCATCCTCCTGGTCCCCTGGCTGGGCCCTTTACAACTGTTCCTATGGAAATCTCTTCTCTTCTCTAAACCCACTGCATCCCGTCCTGCCACAAAAGGTTCTGGTTGTGCATAATACTTTGCTTTTATCCCCAGGAATTGCCAATGTGGTTGCGGGCCATCCCCTGGACACCATCAAGGTAAAACTCTTTGGTCTGTGTTCACATGTCACCACCCAAACCCCCACCAATCCAGACCTTCTTTCTATCTGATGCCTCGAAGGACCTTCAATTGTCCCAAAGGGGAATTTGGAATGTTTTCACAGACTTTCTTCATCTCCAATGCTCATTTTGAATGAGAAACTAAAATAACTGGCTGATATGTGCAAGTTCTTCTGTGATGAATTAATGCTGAAAATTAACCTGGCTTTACTCAATGTGTGGTTCATTGAACAGTTCTGCCAATGCTTTATTGAACTTTGCCACAGACTAGTATTCAAAGGGCAAAGAGGGAACTGTATTTGTTTTGCTGCAGGCACATTTTTATGTGTTTCCGTAGTGCTGGTAAGGCTGGAAGGGCAGAGTTCTGAAATTGTTATCCCAGGGCTGTGACACACAGTGTTTATGATTCCCTCATGATAATTATTCCTCCAACAGAAGGGTTTAGAGAGGTAAGAAGGTATTTGTCAGCATGATGCAGACAAGCCCATGCACATACCAGTGCATCCTGATTCAACCAAGCTGACCATCCCTACTGCTGCAGAAACAGGGAGGAGGATCCTGCTCCTTTCTTTTTATTGCCCAGGTATTTCTGGGCAGCTTGCATCATTTTAGCTTCTCTGCCCTTGTTGGGGTTGTTCAGCCTGAAGAATAGAAGGCTCCAAAGAAATCTTATTGTGGCCTTCTTGTACTTGAAGGGGGTCTAAACTAAAGACAGAATTTTAGCAGGGCCCATTATGATAGTACAAGCGGAACTGGTTTTAAACAGAAAGAGAATAGGTTTACATTGATATAAGGAAGTCTTATACAAAAAAGGTGGTAAAACACAGGCACAGTCTTCCCAGAGAGGTCGGGGAATGCCCATGCCTGGAAGCATTCAAGGACAGGACGGATGGGGTTCTGAGCAACCTGGTCTTGTTGGAGATGTCCTTGCTCACTGCAGGGAGGTTGAAAGAGATGGCCTTAAATGATGCCTTTCAACTCGAGCTATTCTGCAATTCTGTGACTCTGTGTTCCCTGCTCTGGTTCAAGCCTGGCTCTGGCACCAGGCAGGACTGCCAGTTGTGGAAACCCAAAAGCCATTGGTTGTGTTTGCACCTTAAAGACCTTTGGAGGTGATGCCAAGGAGGCCCACACCACATCCCTTCCCCACCATCACAGCCTCCCCTCGCACACACCAGGCTCTCCTGGGACCAGGAGATGTCCATTCAGCCCTATTCTTTCTGAGCTGCTAAAGTGATACCAGCCCCAAGGGTATCCATGTTCAAAGGTGGGTGCACACCCCTCGCAGGAGGAGCCACAAGGCTGCCCAAACCACCCAGCCATGGGCAGGGCACGTGCAGCAAAGGCAGGCACTGCCCAGCATTGCCAAGGCAATCCCCATCTCAGGCTGGTGGCCATGGCATCATTGCCTGGCTTGGGGGAGTTTGGCTATGAGAATCCTGCTCAGAAACATGGAGTTTGGATGCCAAGAAAGAGCAAGCCCATCCTTCAGTGGTTATAAAGACAACTGTCAGGCTGCTCCTCTGTTGCTCTTGGCTTCGGGCAAGGCTTTGCCTTGGGAATACCAAGTAGGCAGACTTGTTATGTTCCAAATTTGGGAGCAGGAAAGGGGAAAAGAGAGTTTTTACAAAGCACTAGGCCAGCAAAGGGGCTGCTCAGCAGCACCTGCAGCCTCCAGGGAATCAGGTGTCTTTCCCCATCTGGGGGAAGAGGCAGGACTGAGTATAAGGCTCTGTGTGATAAGTGGTATCTATGCCACACTTCCCATCAAGTCATCTCTTCCCCCTTCAGCCACCTCTTCCCATTGTTGCAGCTTCTGTCAAACCTCAGTAGCTGGTTTTTCCTACACCCTTGCAGGACTCTCAAAATTGTGCCTTTATTCACCTTTCATCCTACACATTGCATTCATTTTCCCAGAACTGTCTTCAGCTTCTGGGTGCCCCCTAAGAGCCCTATCTAATCAAAACATAACAAAAAGGAGAACTTTCCAGAGGTATATCCATTCTGGTAGTAGCTGACTTTGTCACAGATGCCAGCAGGGATTTCAGCGTCGGGTTAGCTGAAGATTAGCTAAGAGAAACGTGTGAGAACCTGATTGTGAGAACACTCCGTTGCCCCCAGTTACTAAAAAAATATACTAACTTGAACCTCTAAATACCTGGTTACTGAGTAAAAGGAAAAAAAAAACCCAACAAACTAAGCCTATGGAGGCACAGTGGAAATGTCTGGGCTTGTGCTGGGTCACTCAGGGTGCAGCCACCTTCCCCAGTTCCCCCCAGCCCCGTTGTCCCAGTGAGAGTCACGGTGTGCCCAGGCTGCACCCACGGCCTGAGCCTGCCCCACTGCACAAAGCCATGGCAGCATCTTCATGCACCAGCTTCTTCTGAGTGCTCAGTGAATCTTCTGCTTCTCTGTGGCCTCTGGCCAGGCCTGCAGTGGAGCAGGGATGCTCCATGTGTGCAAAGAGCTGCCTGGAGCCATCCCGGGGTGAGGGACAAGCCTGGGCTGAGGGGTGAACACAGACTTTGGTCCCTCCTGCTCCTGCCAGGGTCCCATGGCAGCACTGGCAGCCTCTTGCGGGGCCCTGGGCCAAGTCATTGTACCATCCAACCTGCTCTTTGCCATCTGAAAACTCCCACCAGTCATGAACTCTGGCAGACACACATTCCTCTGAGCTTTAAAGTCCCAAATAATGTCCTGCTTCACCCTGGTGTATATAAATCAGGGCTAAGCCAGTGGATGGGATTGGACACCATCCCTCCACTGCAGGTTGGCAGCGTCCCTTCAGCCTTCATTGCCAGCAGCAGTGCTGATAAATACAGTCAGAAATGTCCCCACTTGCTAAAAACATTCCTGATGGAGCATGTGTGTCTTTCTATAACAAATGAGCTCTGGCCTCAGCCAAGATGAAGCCTGAGGTGCTGTGAAATGAGCAGTGTTGCCATATCCTTGCACAACTTTAAGCCAAAAAAATACATCCCTTGTTAAGATGTTTCTAGTGCAATCTTGTGAGCAGCTTGAATGAAAGCTAATCTAAAGATATATATATGAGAAGGGGAAATGCTTAATCCTGTAGGCTTTGTTGTGACCTATGTGCCATTTCTTACATCTCTTGGAAGGTGTATAACCAAATTGCTTTCCAGAAATAAAATGGCTTTTTTTGAAATTATTTGAAACTGTGTTTTTGAGTGAAGCATGGAGAATTTCTGAGATGGTGCAGAATTATTTTAGCTCCAATTAGTATCTTTATGTCTTAAAATCCACCTTGGAGCAGCAGGGTCCCAGAAGTCTCCCAGGCGAGCTCACCTCTCCTCTCTTTGCAACACATCCCAGCCTTCCCTAAGAGTCTCCAAATGGAGAAGACCACACCACTCTCCAGTTTCCACATAAATCAGGCCCTTGCCAATAGCAGCACTGCACACCAGCAGCCTGCTGTGCCGGGTCAGGGTGGCTGGTCCAGACTGGAGAGCAATTGGACAGTCATTGATTCCAGATGTTCAGAGAGCTTCAGGCTGTGAGTTCCTGCTTAGCCTTGCTTCTGGCAAAGTTCAAGAGGGTGGATGCACATATACCTAATTTTATTGCTCAATTCTCTTTAAGACTAAGGAAGGACTTGCTCTCAAAGCAAAGTACACCTTGTTTATGCAGCATGAGCCTCCATTGGGCTAGAAACATAGGATTTTAATTACATTTTACAAATGTCTTTTGCAGACTCGTTTGCAAGCTGGACAAGGATATGGAAATACACTCAATTGTGTTCTCACTGTGTACAGAAATGAGTCTGTAAGTACTTCATTGTACACTAAATATGCTGGTAGAAAGTGCAAGTCAATAAATAGATAAATACATAAAGCAATTGTACAAAATGTTGTTGACACCAGCAGTTATATAAAGACCAATAAAGTTTATGCAATTGAGCCTGCAAATCCCTACAGCCTTTTCTTACTTATCTCTAAGGTTAAGTCACCACTTGGTGACTCCTATAGGGAAAAGGGAGATCCCTGGCATGGAATGATCAGTGTCTCCACAGGGGTGCATCCACAGTGACTCTTTTGCCTGATCCTACTGGCAAAGGTCTCCCAGAAGGATTTTGCTGACTTAGGTGAAGCCAGAACAAACACTGTCTATATCAGGCGCTTCTACATGGGTTCCTGTGCTTTCAGCCATATCCCATATTCTGCACAGTCTTTATAAGCCTTTAGCAGCTTGAACCAATTTCCTTTGCTCAGCATGTGCAAACAGTTGGTTCCAGGAGACATCTGCTACTTGGATTTGCATTTCACCCCAGACTATGTCAGGCGATTGGAACGAGACGACTTTCCAAGTCCTTTCCAACCCAAGCCATTGTGTGACTCTGTGATTTCTGACCTGATAGACAAGCTGGGGTTTGCACTGCTCAGTCCTGCTCAGTCTCCTAAGCCCTGCTCCCTTTCCTGGGTAGCTGGCCGGCTTCTTCAAGGGCATGTCCTTCCCACTGGTCAGCATTGGCATCTACAGCTCCGTGGTGTTTGGAGTCTTCAGCAACACGCAGCGGTTCCTCAGCCAGCTCCGCCACGGGGACCCGGCCGCTGCGCCCTCGCTCACCGACATGACTCTGGCCAGCGTCGTGGCTGGAGTCATCTCCGTGGGCATCGGCACCCCCGTGGAACTGGTCAAGATAAGGCTACAGATGCAAACACAGCCCTACACCAAAGGTAGGAAGCAACACTTTTGTCTTCCAGTCCTTGGTACATACACAGAGCTTTATAACTTTGGTCAATTCTGGGCTTTCTGCTGCTTTGTGCTGCTGCAGTTGGGCTAAAAACTCCCCCTTTTGCCTGAGGATGGACCCCATCCTGCTCAGCACAAGAGAAGGGTTCTTATCAATGGCATTTCTGGACAGTTGGGACCTATAAGGAACACGAGGCAGGTCTGCTCACAGCCAGGAGCTGCAGAAATTGAGTCCTTGGGCTGTGGGGTCCCTTGGAGATCTCAGCAGCAGCACCATGGCTGCCAGTGGCAATGCCAGCTCCCCATCGCCCTCTGCACACTTTCAGTCCCACATATATTTGCCCATAAACCTCATTTCACCTTTCTCTGTTCAAAAGCAGAATTTTCCCATTTACATTTAAAAACCACCTTATTGCATACAGGGAACCACGTAGCCCAGGTGTGAGCAGGATGGGTCAGGAGGGGACACCAGCAGGATGGCAGTGGGTGGCTGTTCCTTGTCCACAAGGCAGAAGGAGCTGCTTCAGCTTTAGACAGCAGCTGAATTCCATTGCAGGCTGCCAGCATGGAGCAAACCCCAATAGAGCACATGCACAGCCAAATGAAGACATGGAGCAGCTTCAGAGCTGAACAGCTTGGATTCAGCATTTCACCTTTCTCACAATTACAGTCATGGCATTTAACTGTGAAATGATGGCATTTTTCTGTTGCTTTGATAAAACAATATTATGCCCATTTTTAAAGCCTCCATGAGGCTTAGACATCTAATGCCTTTTATAAAAACAGCTTGGTCTGCATGGGAAGGGCAGACTGAATATGCTAAGGCTTTCAGAGATAAGGCTTTCATCTTAAGTTTAAGTTAAAATCCATGAAAATCTGGCACATTGCCTTAAACTTATTTGGAAATCTCACTGGGCACATACCTATTGGGAGGTATGCCATTCATCTGAGAAAAATCTGTATGAAGTGTCTACATGTTTTCTGACAATGGATCTAAATACTCTCTCCTAAAAGTTTTTCCTCATGTTATCTGCTGACCCCAGAATAAACTGGATGGCAGTGACTTCTAATCAGTGGCAGTGGGCTTTGGAGAGGAGTTCTGTGGCAATATATCTATTCCAACAGTTGTAACTTTTTTTTTTTTTTTTTTTTTTTTTTTTTTTTTTTTTTTTTTTTTTTTTTTTTTTTTTTTTTTTTTTTTTTTTTTTTTTTTTTTGTAGCAAACGTTAAACTAAATTCCACAGCTCCTGGATCTCCTGTGTACCGAGGCCCAATTCACTGCTTAAGGACAATCCTACAGAAAGAGGGGATACCAGGAGTATACAGAGGCAACATAGCAATGCTCCTGAGGGATGTTCCTGGGTACTGCGCCTATTTCGTCCCGTACGCAATGTTCTGTGACTGGATAACTCCTCATGGAAGCATTTCCCCTAATCTCTTCTCTATCTGGCTGGCAGGGGGTGTAGCAGGTAAGCACCTTTACTTCCTCACAGCATTGCCAAAACCAGAACAGGAAGGTTCTCACGGCAGATTATGAGGGTGACTCAAGAGCCACTGCATCCTCCTGAACACCAGCAGAGCACATGGGACTGAACCTTCCTTCCCCAGGGCTGGGTTCCCACAGCTGCACTTTATGACTTGACAAACTTTATGGAAGTTGTGTTATCAGATCTTCCTTGGGCTCATTGTCAGTGAAGAGGAGAACAGACAGCGCCTTCATCACTCTGGACACCTCAGGGCAGCCTGCCAATCACATTGCCAGGGATGTGTGGAAGCCAAGATGCCTCCAGAAGAGGACTTCAACCTGTTGGCTTCCCACCAGGAGGGTGTGCACCCACCCACACCTAGCAGAAGCCCAGTTGACTGTTACTGATCTTCTTTTTTCCATACGTACATTTGCCAGTAAAACTGGCACGTGTGCTCCCACCATGTGAAAGGTCACCCCTACTCCTGCTCCTCACTTCTTGGTAATTTCTAAACTGCAGATCCATAAAGGCAAGGCAAACCTTAGCTCAGGCAATGATAACAGAATGCCTTCTCCTCAAATAAAGAGGCTCCTGGTGCCTCTGGATGGTTTTCCTAGTGTGGACACTCACATAGGTCCAGACAAACTCTTTTCTGTCCAGCTGGGCCATGGATTGGCAGTCATGTACTGATCTTTCCAGAGGCAAACCATTCCACTCAGCTGCAGGCTGAACAATGGAAATAGGCATTTCTTTAGAGGTATGACAGGGTATCTCACTCCGTGGAGCCTAATCCTGGCAGCCCAAAATACAACTACCCATTATTTGTATCCTCAGCTCACACTTCGCTTTACAATGGAATTATCAGAAGACTCAGTTTTTTCTGAAATCATCCCAAGCAGCACCTCAGGCTCTTCCCATGGCATGTCCACGTTCCACCAGAAGCACAGCAGAAGATGTATTTGCACCTGGAGAAGCCCCTTCTGGGTTGCCTGCATCTGAGCAGCAGCATGACCTCCAAAATCTGAACACTTCTTCCAGAAACAGGGAACTTTCTCCCAGAAATTCTATTTCTGTGCCTGGCAGGGTGAATGCCCTGAATGAAAATCACACAATATGATGTGATAGATGCAAATTTCTGAGTTCACTGACCTGCAGGCAAGGAAGTATAGAGAAGGAATTATTCAAATACTTCTGCATTTTTCCAGGAGCTGTTTCCTGGGCAGTATCTACTCCAATGGATGTTGTGAAAAGTCGACTTCAGGCAGATGGAGTTTATTTAAACCAGTACAAAGGGACCCTTGACTGCATGTTGCAGAGCTACCAGAATGAGGGCTTAAAAGTAAGTGACATTTGAAGTTAAATCTGGTTATTAGGTATTTAATTGTCAATTGGAAAATATAGTGCAGTATTGAGAGACAGCTAAAGCCAGTTAGTGCTAAATTATTATTATGGCAGTAGGCAATTCTAGTGTTGATTCCTTTTAAATCAAAATAGTGAGACTTATAACACATGTTACATGATGAAGAAATTAATGACTTGGGGGGGTCACACACTGCTGGTGTAATTCACTTCAAACAACATTTCATGTTAGTGCACTTAATCATGGATATAATTTGACTTATCATAAATCAGAGGTAGAAAGTCTTACCTCTGTGATTCTTCTGCAAAATGCAGAGACCAAATGTTTCCCATTGACTTTGGTGCCAATAGTTGATTCCAGTGGGACTGTCCTGGCACTCGGGATGTGTCTTATCACCTTGAGCAATGCTTTGGTGGAACTAATCCTACTTTTGCACTACTTGCCCTCATTTTGCACCAAGGTAGAGTTGAATATGAGCGTTCTTATATGACAATTGCTTTAGTTTTGAACATGAAGAAGGGCTTTGTGCCAAACAACTTATCTCCCTTTTCTGACCTTGTCTGTTAGTGTAATAAAAGATATTTGTTCTACCTGCAAACTTTGCCTCAGTTAAATGTGAATGGCAGAGAATAAAGGTTTGCAGCTTTATTGTGCTGCCGAGGCATGATTTTGGAAGTAACAGCTTCTTATATTGAAATAAATCTGTATTTATCATCAGAACAAGATGCGGTCTCGGCTTCAAAGAGTTAATTTTCACATTTTGAGATAAATGTAACAAGATACAAAGAGGAAAATAACCTGCAAAATCACAAGTCAGTATTTGCCAACATGCCACTATGTTATGCCAGCTGTCACAGGAGCCCGTGGTCTGGCTCAGCTTTTGCCACCGAGTGAAGAAAGTCACATTCATGTGAAGCACAGGCACCTGGAGAGATGCTGAGGACTGTGCTTGGACAGTCAGATGGGGGACAGGGTGCCCAGGCTCTACGGTACCTGCCTTGTGCATTCCACTTGGTGTGCACTTTCACAGCAGGGTGGCTGAAACTGGAATTTCCATGGGTTTCCCTTCTCTCTCCATCCTCATCCCCATCCTCTGCCCTCCTTGTCCTGCCTGAATTAACAACTAGAAGAGTTTTCTGGTGGAGTTCTATACTTCTTGTAGTTTTTCTGCTGTCACATCTGACACCTGCCCCATAGCCACCAGTAAGAATGAGTAATTAGTTGATAGCAAGACTAGATCCTGCTCTCATTAGGAAATCTTTTTAAATGTTGGAAGACTCATAACTGACAAATGACAAACCCAGGGCTGGATGTTTTCATTCTGGGACAAAGGAACAGCATATTCAGTGCTGGAAATAACTGCCTGATGTACACAAAGAAACACAGTTATACCCTTGTCTTTCTCCACAGCCAGGTGTGTTCACTCAGATAAACAAAATTCATGCCTCTGGACTTTTCACCCTAAACCTTCATTATTATTTAACTTGAGTCTCTCATATTACTTTATGGATAATGCAAAAACAATAAATCTCCTCCCAGAAACTTTTCTTTCCTAACAAAATAAATCACCCCAATAAATAAATAATATCCTAATGTTCCAAAACTGCAATTTCACATTGCAAGCTTTATCTAAACTATGTGAACATGTTTTGATTCTATCTCAAACAAGTCAGCACTATGCTTAGGACTTATTGGACACAAGATATGATGATGTTTAGTAGAGTTCAATAATTTCAGGGGGAAAATTGGTTATGTGCTTAAATCTAAGGGCTTCTGATCTTGGGGCCAAAATGTTTCATGTTTTTTTACAGTAGCTGTGGGAACTTTGCTGTTATAAATCCTGGAAAGGGGTTTGATTGCTGATGTTCCTTTTCACATCTATTCTGAACTTGTGGTGTTTAGATTAGTGACTTGTGGTGATGAGCCTTGGTGGTTAATGGAGTGATTTTGCGAGAAGCAGGCCAGCAGAGATCCCCCTGGAACCATCATATTGTGAGCAGACTCACCCCAAAGTGAGCAGCTTGTGCACACCTAGCACACACCAGGATGTGTTTGTAGTGAGGAGCACAATGATGCCAAACCAGTGACTTCTGTGCTCCCCTTCCCCAGCGCACACCTCAGCTCCCAAGATGTGGGAGCGCATCTTCCAAGCAAACCCAAAAAATCTGGTCCTTCAGAATCCCACCATGACTTCATTCAATGTTTTCTTCCTCTTCTTAAAATAGTCCATATATTCCTATGCTCTAACCTTGCTTCATTCCCAACAGGTCTTTTGTAGGGGCCTCCTGGTCAACACAGTGAGAGGATTCCCATCAAGTGCAGCCATGTTTCTTGGCTATGAGCTTTCCCTCAAAGCAATGAAAAGATGCCAAACTGAGACCAATCCCTGACTTCCAGGTCAGCACATAAAGACCCCCTAGCTTTATTAAAATCACAGAATTAATCTTTGAATCAAATAGAATTGCAATTGTATAGGTCCTCTGAAAGTCGTACAACTGACATGGGTACCTACACCTGAATAGCCAAACACAATTTGGGTCTGTGAGATTCAGAGCAGACTGCAAATGTGCCAATAGATTTTAGTTTCAGTCCACATCTCCTGACCGTCACTGTAATCTGTTCTGATTGTTGTGATTATTTTAATTAATATCAATCAGAAATAAAAATTTGAAAGGAGATTACGCTCTAATATTTTATAAGCTTTGAAATACTATTTTACTATAATCCCTGCACAGCATTCTTTCCTCACTTGTTCCAAAAGACATGAAATTCAGCTCTTTAAAGTGCATTGACTATCAAGTCGCTGTTTCACCCTTTCCCTCATTAACTTGGAGTTGCACAAAGAAGCAGCATTAAAAAAGAATTAAAGCAACTTTTTTAACAGCTAGATACTCAAGATTTTTCTTGGCCATCTTTGCTGTTTTCTGCAGTACTTGATAAATCTCTTTCTTTATTATTTCAGAAGTGTTGCCAAGAAGACCAGAAAGTCTCCTACCTCCTGAGCCAGACCAGCAGTGTGGTGTTGGTGAGGGCTCAGCTGCTCCGACTGAAGACTCCCAATCCTGCACTTTCAGCAACTGCAATGGACACGTGGTCCATGGAGGACTCCGAAAATCGCTCCAGCTCAATCAAACCCAAAGACTATTTTATTATCAAATCTTTCACTGTTCACTAAGAGCACCTTAGTAATTCTGGTAGTGGTGGTGGTCTTCTTCACCAATGACATACTTCCTACTGAACCAGGAAGAGAACTTAGTTCCCTTTCCCAAGGGATGTACCCAAGCCCAGCCCACGTAAAATCACCAAGGGAACATCTTTGGTACAGCCCGGTGTTATAACATTCAAGGAAAGGAGGAAATGCAGTGGCTACACAGGTGCTTTTTCTGGATTCCCACCAAATCTTAGCTTGCTTTCAGCTTCAAAGAAGTAGGTGACTCCTCTCATACAAACACTTGTGTTCTACAACAGTTTGGCACAATTTCACACATTACCATGAAAAATGTAAAGGCTTCAACAACTTCAGTCAATTGAAGATAACTTCAGTTATCCAAGTTATAAATTAAATTGGTAAATAGGAGGATGTTAAATTCAGAAAACAATAAAACAAGTTTGCCTTTCATATAGAAGGCTGCCTATTAATTTACACAGCTTGCCTGGTGCAGCCCTCCACAGACTGGCTTGAGGTATCTCATTAGACCTTCTGAGCTCCCTGACATGATTTGCCAGCTGCAAAAACCTGCAGACATCACTTTGTAGCTGTGAGCAGACCATCACCAAAGAAGTCTCTTTAGGACACAGCATACTTCAGACCTCCAACTCTTCGCTGGAATCCCACTGAGACCACTGGGGCAGGCCCAGTCTCTCTTTGGTCTACCTCTTCATCTTAATTATTCCAAGATCATTTATATAATGATTTTTTTTCTGTTTATGCTGTTAAATATCCTTAGGATTTATTTTCTAAGCATGGAGCTTTTGATGCCAAAGCCCAAGAAGAACCAGTGACAAGAGGACTCTGGAGGCACTGGCAGGAGAGGCACGTGCAGAGGGACACATGACATTAGGGAATAATCTAGGACAACACTTCATCTGGGAAATGTTCTAGAGGAACAGCTCTTCCTCTGGAGAAGATCTCTGGGGGAAAAGCCCAGTGACTGCAGTTTCAGCAGATGCCTTCAAAAAAAAGTTTCTGAAGTCAATGTGGAGCAGCTGTCCAGCTTTCCTCCATAAAATGAGGAACAGGAAAGCGAAACCTCTATGTCCTCTACCATGGATGAATGGGAGAATTGGTCACAACACTTGAAGATCACAGCAGAAAGTGCCTAAAACTTTGGGTCTTGAGCAGTTCCTGGACATGGGGTCACCTCTGGGGTCCTCATCACTGGGGCCCAAATTAAAAATAGAAATGTGGGTTCTCCCAAACCTGGCCTTAAAATGGGGAAGAAACAGCTGGTGTTGCTTCATCTCAAAAGTCTCACAGTGCCTTTGACCTTCTTTAGACATATGGAACAGTTTTAATAAACAATATGGAAAAAAATTGATGAGCCTTCACACAAGTTTTTGTTGCTGGCTGCATTTAAGGATTCATCCTTTTCATGCTGCTTATTTTACTGGATGTATGTAAAACATGTTTTTTTATATGGATAATATCATGTGTCTCCAGGGATAATACTTGGGCAGACTATTTTTTAATGCAAATAAATGATGTGTTCATCTGCCTGTATAATGTAAAATGGATCATGAATGAATTAAACTGATGACTTCACAACAAGATGTGTATCTGCATGATCTTGCCCTCATGGTGCCCAGGTTTGATCCATTCAGTGCTCTCTGAGTGTAAAGCCCTGAGACCCATGCTGGAGTTGCATGGTGATGTTTCATTATATGATTCATCCAATTAAACCAATTCTGAGACTGGAGCCCAGGATTTGTCTGGACAAAACTATCATGTAGCACACACCTGCCAGAAGGAGCTGTCAGGGAGAGCCTTGGGCAACTTGGAGTGGAAAGGGAGCAGAGGGCAGAAAGTTACTCTAAATTATATAAATATGTATGATATAAATATATATAACATAAATATAAAATCCTGAAGATCAAGTGGGAAGTGAATACAAAGCTTTGGCCACTTGATGGCATCCTCATCCCTGGCAGGGCGTGTGTTTCTCACTGGAGCTGCCAAGCAACTCCTTTGTGTCTTGCCAGTTCTGCTGCCCAACCAGCACACATTCCCTTCCCCATGGGCAGCCCCACACTGCACAGCCTCTGGATGATTCTGGGCTGGCAGCACGGGGGGCAAGCCCTGGACACAACTGGTTAATTAGTGCATCATGCCATTAGCATTCACAGACAAACCACGAAGCAGCTCCGGGCTGGAGCACGAGGGATTCAAGGGTGACAGCAGCACAGGCCACAGTGCAGGAGATTCGGCTGCCTCTGGGGCACTGCTGGTGACCAAGGACACTTTAGGGTTGGGACAAGCAGCTTTTGAGGCACAGCACTCTGTGATACCCCTCGCTGTGACCGATCACACCCCTGGGAAGTGCTCAAGGCCACGTTGGACAAGGCCCTGGTTTAGTGGAAGGTGTCCCTGCCCATGGTGAGTGGGTTGGAAGGAGATGAGCTTTAAGGTCCTTTCCAACCCAAACCCTTCTATGGGTCTGACATCCCTGCACATGGAGACTGATAGACTGTTTAGCCTGGCTTTTGCAGTAGTGAATGTGTGGCTGTGTCACCACTGGGGCCCAGCCCCATGTCCCAAAGATGAGGGATGGCAATTAAAATTTATACACACAGAGACTTGACAAGTCTGTGTCTTGTGAATAATCTCCTGTATGAAATATCAAATGCATTATTTTTTGGAAATAATATCACTATAATTATTAATGGATAGAAATTAGGATCTCCAAAGAATTTTTCAGGGACCTGGTGATGGGAGTTTAAAACAGCCTTTCCTGGGAGGCAGGCAGACAGACAGATAGCTGATTCAGTGGGGCACTGATTATATATGTTGGTGATTTTGTCTCTGAATTACAAGAAAGAAAACCCCTGTGTCAACAGAATTCAGACTGTGGGCCCAGCTCCTTTGTCAGTGCTGTGTCTGTACTGAGCTGCCATCAGTGGTGTGTTCCACACACATGCTGGAAGGGTAGAAGCCATCTGCTTGGTAGGTTGTTCAAAGTGTCTACAGAGCCCCTCATTTCTAAAATAAATGCAGTAAATCCTGAAATTGTCAAAAGAATGAGAAGGCAGACCAGAAGCACCAGGGATACATACTTCAATGTGTTTGTAGCCTGGATTGTGAAAGCATATTCAGACCTGTCATCCCTCAAATGAGTCTGTAATTGCCCAACTTTCATGTCTCTGGTGGCATTCCAGCTCTTACAACACCCTGTATTACTTAATGAGATACAGGCTGTTTTTCACACCTTATAAACTACTATGAAAGGAAAAAGAGGTAACAGCAGCTTACTTCCTTCATTGAAAAAAAACCCCAGCCAAACAGGAACCAATTTCCCATTGAAAATACATTTTTCTAGAAAACAGCCCTGACCTGGATGAAAGTCTTTGGGGCTGGGAGAAGCTTTGTGATGTCTATGATGGATAGAGTGTGAAGAGGCTTCCCAGCAGTTTTAGCATCTACTGAAACCCGGCCTGTAAACGTCTTTTCCAGTCTAAATAATTTTATGATGGCTCTAGGCCAGGCTGAGATTTTCTCATGCCTGGGAGTCCCTGCCTGGTGTTTCCCCACCACAGGGGAAGGCAAGATCACAGTCCACATCTCAGTTTCTCTTTTTCTGAGACAGAGGAGTTGGTGACGTCTTTGCAGGCATTAAGATATATCTCTTTGATTTATCTGAAGTTCTTTGTTTTGTCATAGAGATTGTTATAGTAGACATTCTTCTAGGTGTGGCATTCATGTCAGCCAAGAAGGCCAATGCCTGTCTTGTACTTGCAATGAAAAAAAGTAAAGTGTACAGCCAGAAGAATTATGAGATACAAAGAGACAAGTGGGAAGAAGCTGAAGTGCTAAATTGAATGTAAACTGCACAAGAAAACTTCATCTCTCTAAAGCCATCTTCTTCCTGTATATGCTCCTTCAGTATTGCACAGACTGATCACTGCAAGTTTAGATGAGCATTGGAGTATGTAGAGTATCCTTCCAGAGTCTGTAGAGTATCCTTCCAGAGACAGCTCCAAAAGGAATGAAGCCATGAAGTGAGGGGAAATTTAAGTAGTCACACTGATTTTCAAGGCAGTTTTCCTAAAGTGTAGATCCTGTGACAGCTCCAGAATCAGACACAGATGGAACAACCAACCTGTTAGGAGCCACTTGTGCAGCAGAAGCATATTTTTAAAGGGGTTTTAGAAGTCCCATGTGCAGTTTCACTGTAAGATATAAAGTGCTGGATACATCAAGAAATCCTTGTTTAGTAAGGGTGAAATTCCAAGGCTACTGTGCTGTACAACACGCAGTCTCTGAAGAAAATACAAAGGTCCTCTGAGTGATGGAGAAAGCAATGGATAACCTTGAGTCAGAAGGAGAAAGATTTGGAGAAACCACAACCTTGCAAGCGGGAAAAAACATGTTAAGTCTGCCCTGCCACCAACATCTACTGCATTAAACTGGCACCTGCATGGCCTCACCTCTGTGAAAGCACCAGGACTGAGCTCATCTTCATGGACTGCTCTATTCTCCCATGTTTCAAAACATTTTATCATTAATGTAGCCTACTTCACACATGGTATAGAAATACTGCCAATTCTCATGGATAAGGGCCAGCTTGCTCTTACTTATGCAACCAGGTGGGAACCAATATCCATCCCTGCTTCGCTGTTAAATTACTATTGCTGTGTTTCCATCAGGCAGCCTGCAGGTGGATTTTCAACACTTCCAGCGTGAAAAGTGAGCTGCGATGTGGGGCTGGCTGGTGAAAAGCTCTAACACAGCCATGGAGTGAATGCCTAGTGCTGTCTGTCTGTCCTGCATGTTCAGCCTCCCTCTGCATGCTGTGCTGAGTGGGAAATCCAGCACACAGGGTCATCGCACAGTGGGACAAGCAAAGAAGGGTGAGTGGACTTCTGATGTGAGAGCCCTCAATGTTTCCCTTTCCTGGTATGAAAGGCCACAAAAGAAGACACTGGAAGAG